GGAACAGACGCTTTTGTTGCCCAGGTAAGTGAAGTGCCCGTGGCGGTCAGCCTAGCTCACAGCAACCTCAACTCCTGGGCTGCGAGCGACTCCTTCTGGCCTCAGCCTCCCTGGTAGCTGGGACTACAGGCATTGAGCCCACCCGGCTAATTTTAATATATATCAGGAGCCAAATGATTCTTTCTATTTAGTAGGAGACGGCTGCCGCTCTTGCTCAGGCTGGTTTTGCAACTCCTGATGAGCAAATCCAACCGCGCCGCGGCCTCCAAGAGCTAGGATTACAGGCGTGAGCCAACACGCGCCCGGCGGTCTTTGATGTTCTATAATTTTTTTTTTTTGAGAACAGAGTCTGTTATTCTGTTGCCCGGCGCTAGAAGTGCGGGCAGTCAGCCTAGCTCACAGCAACCTCCAGACCTCCTAGGGTTCAAGCCATCATCCGCCCTGCCTCCAGACTCCTGAAGTTAGCTGGATACAGGGTGGCCAAGCCCACCACTTCTGGCTAAATTTCTGTTCTTAGTAGAGAATGGCGGTCTTGCTCTTGCTCACGCTGTACTGGAACTCCGCTGGAGGTCAAGCGATCTACCTGCACCTCAGCCTCCAGAGTGCCTAGGATTACAGTGTGAGCCACCGGGCCTCTGGCTGTTGCGCTCTATCTATATTTATTTTGCAGTGTAGGATTAAAAGATTACTTGCATTTTTTTCTTAAAAGTTAATTCTCAATTGTTTATAGTATAATTACTGGAATAATGGTTCACTTCAAAATACCGTTTAAGCTATATATTATTAGGAGGTCTGTTTCTCGAGCTAGGCGGGTACGATGTATTACCGTTTTGGGATTCCTGGAGTTTTAGTGATTGCTCACAGCAACCTCAGACTCCTAGGCTCAAGCAATCCTCCTGCCTCAGCCTCCTGAAGTAGCTGGGACTACAGGTGCAAGCCACCACTTTCGGCTAAATTTTTCTGTTTTAGTAGAGATGGGGTCTTGCTCTTGCTCAGGCTGGTACTGAACTCCTGAGGTCAAGCGATCTACCTGCCTCAGCCTCCAGAGTGCTAGGATTACAGGTGTGAGCCACGGCCTCTGGCTGTTGGTCTATCTATAATTTATTTTGACATGAGGTAAAGATTACTTGCTTTTTTTCTAAACAGTTAACCAATTGTTTTAGTATAATTTACTGAATAATGTTCACTTCAAAATACCTTAAGTATATATTATTAGAGTCTGTTTCTGAGCTATTCTGTACAGTTTTATACCGTTTGACTTCCTGGAGTTTTAGGTATTTTAATATCTAGTAGATCAAGTCCCTTATTACTGTTACTTTTCATTATTTTCTTAGCTATCCTTACTTTTCATTCTTCCAAATAAATTTTAGAATCATTTTATCAAATAACCTTTTCTGTACCCTATGGGGAGAAAAAAACCTGTGGAAGCTTTGTAATTGTATGATATCTATAAACATCTTAATAATAGTCATTCCATTGAGGAATATGATACCCTTCTTCATCCTAATTTCTCCTGTATATGACTCAGAAATGTTCCTTGACTGGTGTGGGCATTTTACTTTTTTATTGAAAATTTGAATGATTTTTTTTCACTATAATTACCAACTAGTTATTAATAAAATATAGGAAAGTTAAAATATTTATACAACTATATAAAATATATCTTATATCAGCCTTTCTTGAATTTTATTATTTCTAGAAGTTTTTCATGTGATTTTCTTGAGTTGCCTAGGTATAAAACTTGGCCTAGAAATATAACACAGAAATACTTATTTCTGTTTCCTATCTCATTACACTGGCCAGAGCGTCAAGAATGATGCTAAATAATAATGGTGACAGATAACTTCACTATGATATTAGAAATTCATAATGTTTATTATGTTAAGAAAGTATCCTTCTATTTAGAGTATGACCAAGCATTTTAAATGAAGAATAGGTGTCAAATTTGATTAAATTCTTCAGTAGCATCTATTTAAATTAACTTCTTTTTCTTAATGAATCACAGAAATAATGTATTTTATGAGTTCCCAAATATTAAACTATCCTTGGATAGTTTCTAAGCTTAACTTGCAAGTTAGCCATTACATAATACTTTTAATATGCTATTGAATTCAATTTTAAATATTTTTTTTTTTTTTTTTTTTTGAGACAGAGTCTCGCTTTGTTGCCCAGGCTAGAGTGAGTGCCGTGGCGTCAGCCTAGCTCACAGCAACCTCAAACTCCTGGGCTCAAGGGATCCTGCTGCCTCAGCCTCCCGAGTAGCTGGGACTACAGGCATGAGCCACCATGCCCGGCTAATTTTTTATATATATATCAGTTGGCCAATTAATTTCTTTCTATTTATAGTAGAGACGGGGTCTCGCTCTTGCTCAGGCTGGTTTGAACTCCTGACCTTGAGCAATTCCGCCCGCCTCGGGCCTCCCAAGAGCTAGGATTACAGGCGTGAGCCACCGCGCCCGGCTAATTTTAAATATTTTAATTAGGACTTTTACATAAATTAGATTGGGCCATAGTTTCCTTTTGTGGGCCTTGTCAGTATTTATATCAAGGTTATATCAACCTCATTAACTAAAGAGTTTTGCCTCGTTCTAGTTTTAGAAAAAGAACTTTGTTTTTGAGCACTGTGTTCTAATAAAACTTTATTTTAAAAAATAGGCCGGGCACGGTGCTCACGCCTGCATCCTAGCACTCTGGGGGCCAGAGTGGCGGATTGCTCCAGGGTCAGGAGTTCAAAACCAGCCTGAGCAAGAGCGAGACCCTCCCCCCTCTCTACTATAAATAGAAAGAAATTAATTGGCCAACTAATATATATAGAAAAAATTAGCTGGGCATGGTGGCGCATGCCTGTAGTCCCAGTTACTCGGGAGGCTGAGGCAGCAGGATTGCTTGAGCCCAGGAGTTTGAGGTTGCTGTGAGCGTTAGGCGGAACTGCCACGGCACTCACTCTAGCCTGGGCAACAAAGTGAGACTCTGTCTCAAAAAAAAAAAAAAAATAGGCAGAAGGCTGGAGTTGGCCTGTGGCTGTAGTTTGTAGACCCCTTTTCATTATTTCATTATTTTTATATCATTTTTTTTATCACAATCTTAAAGCAGTTTATAATTTTTAAAAATTATAAATTAAAAATTAAAAATCTATTATATCATTATTTTTATAATAACTTGCTCTTAAAGAAGTTTATAATATTTAATCCATTATATCTCACTGACTGTGTGGTAAACAGGATAGATATGGTTATACTCATTTTACTGGTGAGAAAATGGAACACGGAGCTTTTATGAATTTGAAGGTTCCTAGGCCAGTTATTCGTACGTGCACTAAAACATACGTCACCTTCTCAGAAAAAGAACATTACAGGCAAGGTGAGATGCTGCACACCTGTAGTCCCAGCTATTTGGGAAACTGAGGTGGGAGGATCACTAAATCCCAAGAGTTCAAGGCCATAGTGCCCTATGATCATATCTGTGAATAGCTTCTGCACTCTAGCCTAGGCAACAGAGACCTCACCTCTTTTAAAAAAAAAAAAAAACAGAAACAAAAAACTTTTCATATAAGATGAAACTTACATGTTCTGAAATTTTGAAAGGATTCATCCAGAAAACCATCTGTGCTCAGAGCTTTTGGAAGCTGGTTCTCTGTAACTTTTTTGGTTTTCTTATCTGATTATTGGTCTATCTAGGTTTTCTACTTAAAGTCAATTCTGATTATTTTGTATTGTTTTCCAAAACTTTCATTTATCTAAAATTTTTAAATTTCCTAATACTACACCCTATAGTATTGTCTTATAGCTTAAAAAATAGCCCTTAGTTCCTAATTTTGTCATTTGCATGTACGTTTAAATGAGAACCAGTTCTTAGATCAATTGTACTCTTCTAAAAATCTTTTGCATTAACATTTTTATCTTTAGTATTTATTTCCTCCCCCTTTCTCCAGAATTGTGGATTTTTCTCCCCTCTTTGAGATGAATGCTTATTTTCCTTTAATAATATAGTTTTTAAAGATAAGGATTTATCTTATTTATTTATTTAGATAGGTCTTGCTTCATCACCCAGGCTGGAGTGCAGTGGCATCATCATAGCTCATTGCAACCTCTAACTCCTATTTTGAAGCGATCCTCTTGTCTCACCCCTCTCCCCCACCCCCAGTAGCTGGGACTGTAAATGTGAGCACCCAACCAAGTCTTTATCTTTAGATACTTCTTGGCTATTTTGATAAGTGGTATTTTCTTTTTTGTTATTTTCCCTCAGACCTTGAAGAAATGAAATAAGTGGAATTTTCAGTGTAGCTCTTATGGCATTAATTACCATTTAAAAATTTACATGGTAATCACCCTCAAATCTCTTTTGTCTAGCACTGAATTCATCACTGAGCTTCAAACTCATATTAAAATACCTAAGCTTAAGAGATAGTAAAAATGTCTACATGCACCTCAAAATCAACATGTAAAAACATAACCTTTTCCTCCAAGCTGTGGACATTCTTGTTTCTCCCAGCATCATCTCAAAAAACAAAACAGAAATCTGGAGTTTATCCTTGCTCTTCTCTTCCCAAGTCTGCATATCAAATCAATCACAAATTCTTACTAATTTTATTTCTTTAATTTTATCCACTTTTCTCTATTCCTACAAATACCATCTTTAGTCAGGCCCTTAGCACTCCTATATCCTCTCACCTGAGGAAACCAATAGCTTACACTTTACAGATAGAATTGACAATTCAGGGAGGTTTGAAATATAAAGTATCTGAAAACTTTCTAGGGGAAAGATATTGTCATAAACCTTATATTTCTTCTAGGAAAAAAAATCAATAAATGAAGTATTTAGAAAGCTAGATTAAATGAGCCTTTTAAGAAAGCTGCTTACCTTTTCTTATTCTTCACGTTTTTAAGTCCCATTGTATAATCTTCATTTAAACATATAGTATATTCAGAGATACCAAAGTGCTCTAATTTAGGAGTTACACACTCAAAATCATCCATCTTTAGTGCACATTTTGGAGTTTTTAGTAATTTAACTGGTGATTCTCTGGTAGCTGGAGTTATAATTTTGGGCTCTTCCTTCTGGTCATTTATTGCCTGCTGAGGTTTTGGTAGAACTTGGGATATCATGTACCGCTCAAGTCCAAAATCTGAAAGTTGCGGACTACGTGGAGACTTCTCAGAAACAGAATTGCTAGCAACAGTAGGATCACACAGATCATCCTTCGCGTCAGGCTTTTGAAAAATTTCACACTTAGACAACTCTGGGTTAGAGTCAATGACTTCTTGCTCACACACTAGGAGGAAAAATCAAAGAAGTAATATTCTGGTCAAACATGAAAACAGAAAATCTCATGTTTACAAAAAAATCCCTAGAAAATAGCTTCATCTGAAATTTCCCAAATCAGCAAAAGGCCTGATTCTGTAAAAACTTTTATCTCAATTTTCCCTTCAGTAAATGTCTGACACATACCTCCTGTCCACTCATATTCCACTTTGATTGTACATTACAGAAGGAAAGTAAACTAAAGCGTTAAAAGATGAAAAATTAGTATTCACAAATCAAGGTCCATTTTCCTTACTGCCTCAGTGAATGTAATTTTACCAGTCTATCTTAATGTTTTCTTTAAGTATTTTATCATTTTGTTTCATTTTATGACATTAATTACAGTGTGGAATTAACTATGTTCCAGATTTAACACCCCATATACTCATAATTTTTAGATTTTTAACTGTCAGATGCCTAAGTTAGAAGGGCATCTAGCAGGAAAACACTGCTATCCAAAGATAAATTTTTATCCTAAGTCAGTCTGGAACACCCTATCAAAAGCCTAACTGAAAAAATAACAGAACATTTGAAAGATAAGTAGTTTCTCCACCTTTAACAGGTTTTATACTTTGATTTCATGGTTTTTAGCCCTTGGAAGAGTTTCTGATTCGCCTAATTCTGTTTTGGCACTGTGCTTTCTGTTTATTTTGAGGAATGCTACAAGAATTTCCAAAAAACTACTGATGTATTTATATAGCACTATCACTGATGAGATTAATAAACTAAAATCATTACCATTATCACTACTCCATAGGGAGATATTATTATCCCCATCTCAGAAGTGAGAAAAATGCAATTTAGAGAAATTATCCAAGGTCACACATGTAGTAACTGCCAAAGCTAGTCTTTGAATTCATAGCTCTTTTATACCAAAGCCAACTGAATTCTTCCTATTATACCATATGGGCTGTTTAATATACCTTCCACACACAACCTCAATACAGACTTGTTCAATTTAATTAATACTTATGTGCAAAGAGCATTTCCACGATAGAAATGAAGATACTGAAGCATACTGAAGTTAGTCATTCAGAGGTACAGGCATAACAACAGCAGTACTTAATATTGGTGATTGACATGCCAGGCACTGCTCTAAGAAAATTTTATCTCAATGAATTCTTATATAATCTCATGAGGTAGATATATTAAACATCTCCAGTTTATAGATGGAAAAGTGAAGCACAAAGTTAGGTAACTTGCCAAAGATAACACAGCTAATAAGTGATGGAATACAGATTTGAACTCAGGCATTTTGGTCCAAATTCTAAACCACTGTGCTATATTTACCCTTCATTAAAATTTTAGAACTAAAAAGGACTTTATCTACTTATACAGCCAAAATCTCTCGTTCTACAGAAAAGGAAAATGAGAACAAGAAAAATGAAATAGATGCCTTAAGGTCTCTCAGTTATTTATGGACAGAGCTGACTACAAACCACCTATCATGTAAGTATCATGTAAGTCATGTAGATTTATTTTGTACCTTTCCTTTTATTTATTTTTGAGATAGGGTCTTGCTCCTGTTGCCTGGGCTAGAGTGCAGTGGTGTCATCATAGTTTACTGCAAGCTGAAACGATCCTCCTGCCTCAGCCTCCTAAGTAGTTGGGACTACAGGTGCATGCCACCATGCCCAGCTAAATTTTTCATTTTTTGTAGAGACAGGGGTTTGCTATGTTGCTCAGGCTGGTCTCATTCCTGGTCTCAAGCGCTACTCCCACCTTGATCTCCCAAAGTGCTGGGATTACAGGTGTGAGCTACTGCACCCAGCCTACTGTCTCATTTAAATAGCTCAAAGAACTTTGATCTAGCACTGTTAGTTCTCATCTAGCATGTTGGAAAGGAGAGTAAAGACTTTCTTTATATTGTACCACTAATCTGGATTGCATCCAGCTCACAGTGAGGGTCAAATAAATATTTATTATATGGTCAGATAATGGCAGTGAAAACTCAAAATCATGGCCAAGCTTACAGTTGTTTTAGTTAATCATGCTGCTTTCTTTAATATTAAAACAAATGCTGTAAAATGAAAGTTATTCAAACCTGAATTTTTCTTGACACGTGGATTATATCCATACTTCTGGAAAACCTCTTTTATTTTTATAATATCCATTGAATTTTTCTGCATCAATATTTTTGTTGCCTTTATGAAACCAATGCTTTCTTGACTTTCCAATCTTGCTTTATCAAGAAGAATATTAACATCATCCTTTGATGAGGAAAGAAAGTACATTATGATTTCTCTAACTTCTGACTAAGTCTATTTAGATTTAAAAAATTACCACAGAAAAATGATAAATTAATATTGTAGGAGTGATACCTTTAGAGTCTGGACTTCTGAATGAAGGTCATGTAAAATTCTCACTGGATAATCTTCAAAATCTTCAATATGAATATTGAAAGGTAAAAAGTCCAATAAATGTGAGGAAAAGGCAGAAAAAGAATAGAAAATTTAGTATATAGTCATGTGCCACATAATGACATTTTGGTCAAGGATGGACTACATATACGATGGTGGTCCCATAGGATAATATCACATTTTAACTGTACCTTTTCTATGTTTAGATATGTCTACACAATAACTTACCAATGTGTTACAACTGCCTATAGTATTCAGTACAGTAGCATAATAGGCTATACCATATAGTCTAGGTGTGTAATAGGCTGTACCACCTAGGTTTGTGTAAATGCTCTATGATGTTTGCACAAGGATGAAACTGCCTGTTTATCCCATGTTAAGGGACACATGACTATTTAACATAAAATAAACAAATCATAGTATATTGCTTGAACTTTATAAAGTGAACACACTTAAATAACCAACCCTCAGCTAAAGAAACAGGAAAGGAGGGAGAATAGAACATTATGAGAACTCTAAAAGCCCTTCTGTAGTCTCTCCTTATCACCAAAGGTAAATGTTACCCCGATTTCCAACACCACAAAGTAGTTTTACTTGTTTATGAACTTTATTTAATGGATTCACACAGTATTACTCATTTGTGATTGGGTTCTTGCACTCAATATTCTTTGTGACATTCCTCCATGTTCATAATCTAATCCATCCATGCTCATTACTGTACAGTATTCCACTGTATGATATAAACTTTATTCTGTTATTGATGGGCTTTGGATTGTGTCTGGAACTATTATGAGTACCCTTGCTTTGAACTTTCTAAAGCATGTCTTTGATACCAATGTGTTCACATTTCTGTATGCTGGAGACCTAGACTTTAAAAAGTGCTAGATTACAGGTATGCATGTGTTCAACTTTCATAGATACTCCCAAACACTTTTCCAACAGGGTTGTTACAATTTATACTCCCACTAGCAGTGTATGAGAACTCCATTTGTCCCACATCTTTGCAAACACTTAGTATTTTTCTCTTTTTCATTTTAGTTATCCTGGTGGGTATACCACTGTTCTGCATTGGGATTTTTTTTTCCAATGAGAAAATTACTATTTCATTTTGGAAAGTAGGCAGTAGGCCAGTCTCAGAACTTAAGGAATTGCTTCCTGGTGTTGTGGCCTTGTTGACTTTGAGTACTACTCTGAAGCGTACTGTCTTGCTCAGTGAGTGGCACTCACCCATTGTGACAATGTTGCTCATCTGAAGCAGGGGGGCAAAGCACAGGCATGTTCTTGTGGATGTAGTGGAGATAGTCCCTTAGATGACAATGCTTCTCTGCATCTTGATCTAGATCCCACATCAGACAGGATCTACCCTTGGATGGAGACTTGACCAGGGAAGGGCATTTCTTATCAATACAGGTGCCCTCCATGTCTTCTTTGAGCATCATGAAGCCTAGAGTGATGTTCTTCTAGTACTCTGGGAGATTCTTCTTGCCAGTTTCTCCCAGCAGGACCCTACTCTTGCTTTCAAAGATGGTTGGCTGCTTTTAGTAGGAATGTTCAATCTGAACATCCGCAATTTTTCCAGCTGCCGGAAAAAGAGCAGCAGTGGTCAGGTTTCCTTATCGACTGCCCGCATCAGGATTTAAATTGCATTTCCTTGATATCTTTTCATAAGCTTAATGGCCATTTGAAGATAATTTTTTTTTGCAGCATCAATTTAAGACTTTTGCATTTTTCTACTGTATTGTCTGCCTTTTTCTTAGTAATTTGTAGATATTCTTTATACATTTTGATACAAGATACAAGTCTTTTATCAGACACATACACAGCAAAATCTTCTTTCATTCTATAGTTTGCTTTTTCATTCTCTTAATTTTGAGAAACATAATTTCTTTTTTTTTTTTTTTTTATTTGTGGACGAGGTTCTGGGGCCCCAAGAGCAGGGGCCCCGGAAGTCGCCCAATTTCTTAATTTTAATGTAGTTCTACTTATAAAGTTTTCCTTTATAACAAGCACTTTTTGGTTCATACTTTAAAAATCCTTACCAATGAAAATACATATGTATTCCTTATGTTTTCTTCTAAGAGCTTTATGCTTTTTACCTTTTGCATTTAGAGCTACAACCATCTGGAACTGATTTTTGTGTATGGCATGAGGTAAGGATCAAGATCAACTCTTTTTTTCTATATAGATGTCCAACTGACCTAGCACCACTTACTGAAAAGACATCCTTTACCCAATGCACTGTCACCTTTGTTGTTAATCAGTTGGTTGTACATACAATGTAGAAGTAGTTTTTAAAAGGATTATATTTCTTTTCTAAAACACATCTCCTTTGAAAATCTCCTTCTCCTTCTACCTATTGAAAATTAACCAGTTTTCATTAGGGAGATGCAAATCAAAACCACAATAAGATTCCACTTGTACTCACTAGAATAACTATAATAAAAAATATAAACAAACAAATGTTGGTGAGATGTGGAGAAATTGCAACCCTCATTCATTGCTGGTACAAATATAAAATGGTGCAGCCATTTCAAAAAACAATTTGGCAGCTCCTCAAAAAGTTAAACATGGGGTTCTGTGTGACTTAGCAATTCTACCTCTATGTATATGCCAAGAGAATTGAAAACACTTTCACACAAAAACTTGCACATGAATGTATACAGCAATCCTATTTATAATAGCCAAAAAGTAGAAATCCAAATGTCTATCAACTAGTGAATAAAGAGAATATGGTATGTCCATACAATGGACTATTACTCAGAAATAAAATGATGTAATGACACATGCTACAAGATGGATGAACACTGAAACATTACACTAAGTGAATAAGTCAATCACAAAAAACAACATATCGTATGATTCAATTTAAACAAAATTACCAGAATTTGCCAGAATAGGCAAATCTATAGAGATAGAAAGCAGATTGGTGGTTGGGTAGAGCTGCTGTGGTGAATGGGGTTATGGGGAGTGACTGAATGGGCACAGGGATTTCTTTTCAGAGTGATGAAAATCTAAACTTCTTGTTATTATGATTGATTGTACAACTCTGTTAATATCCTAAAAACCACTTAATTGTATCCTTTAAATAGTGATTTTTATGGTATGTGAATTGTGAATTACATCTGGAAGATGTTTATTTTTTTGAGACAGGGTCTTGCTCTATCACCCAGGCTAGAGTGTAGTGATTTCATCATAGCTCACTCCAACCTCAAACAATCCTCTTGCCTCAGCCTCCTAAGTAGCTGGGACTACAGGCCTGCACTAACATGCCCAGGTAATTTGTCTATTTTTTGTAGAGATGGGGGTTACACTATATTGCCCATTCTGGTCTCGAACTTTCTGGCCTCAAGTGATTCTCCCACCTCGGCCTCCCAAAGTGTTGAGATTACAGATGTGTGCCACTGCGCCCACCATCAAAGATGTTTAGAAGTCAGTCAATTTAACAATTCATAATGTGATCATAAAAGGTGAAACTGTGATCATCTTTGCTGATTAGTACAATTCCATATTTTCTATAATACATATGGGCCAGGAACTATTCCAACTTTTTCTTGTAAAAACAAAAGAAAATGCAGAGTTTGCACAGAGGTAATATGTTGGTAAGAAGATAACTTAGCACAAGCTTTGTGGAAAGCAATTCAGCATATATACCAAGAATCCAAAAATGTTAATGCAATTTTGTGTCAGTTTTTATTATCAACCACATAAACAAAATCAAAGAAAAACAAAAGGCCGGGCGTGGTGGCTCACGCCTGTAATCCTAGCACTTTGGGAGGCCGAGGCGGGCGGATTGCTCAAGGTCAGGAGTTGGAAACCAGCCTGAGCGAGACCCCGTCTCTACCAAAAATAGAAAGAAATTAATTGACCAACTAAAAATATATATACAAAAAAATAGCCGGGCATGGTGGCGTGTGCCTGTAGTCCCAGCTACTCGGGAGGCTGAGGCAGTAGGATCGCTGAGCCCCGGAGTTTGAGGTTGCTGTGAGCCAGGCTAATGCCACGGCACTCACTCTAGCCTGGGCAACAAAGTGAGACTCTGTCTCAAAATAAAAAAAAGAAAAACAAAAAAGCCATAAAATAAGAATGGTAGAAAAATTACTAAAATGTTAATAGTGATATCTTTGGATAGTAGAGTTATAGAGACTATTTTCTTCTATTTTTTCATATCTCAAATTTCCTACAGAGCACAATAAAATAAACATTTTCAAATGGTTGGAGAACTATTCATAATAAAATCAAAGTAAAAGGAGTCAGCAGGGTGCAATATTTTAAGATGCATTATGGTTATGACATTCATGAAGTAAATCTTAAAATCTGAACTTCTTTTGCAAAATCTTAAAAAAAATCTCTAATACAAAGGTGAATGGCGATGAATTTTACTTTATTTAAAAAAAAACAGCAATATTGAGTACCAGTATTTGTGCTGGCAATATGGTTTATTGGGAAAATACAGGTGTTTACTGCAACTGTGGACCATTAAGGTGAGACGAGTCACTAGACATGTAAAGTATAAAGAACAATGCTAACTAGCTGCATTTTAAAAGGAACTGGTTAATTTTGTTCACATGGTATTTGATTAACAGGCACACAATATTACATGTGACGTGAAAGCATGCCATATATAAATCAGTGTATACATTGCGGACTCAATTTGTCAACTTAGACTTTTTATTCACAAGTGCCGCTGTTTTTCTTCGCAGCACGACGGTGCTACTTTCACTACTTGAGAAGAGCAATGTGGTCGTTTTAGGGAACTAAAAACAGACACAAAGGCACACTTGAGGGGCCCTAAGAATAAATCATAAAAAAGGTGACACTCGCAGCTCCTGGAGCTATGTTAACGACAAACGTGGAGCATCTGTATACACGCGCCACCCCACCCGGTACCCCCTTTGACGCCCTTGTCACCACCGTCAATTGACGCCCACTCCGGCAAGTCCCTTCCGTTCCCCCCGGCTGCCCTTCCGGCCCGCCGCGCCCGAGGGACCCGCGCAGCGCGCCCAGCCCCGCCAGCCGAACTCACCGCTTTCCTCTCTGTCCAGCGCTCGCTGCAGCCGGGCCGTCTCGCGGTCTAGGGTGCTGGCCAGAGACCGCAGCTTCCCGCAGAAGCTCCGGATCGGGTCCATTGGTGAGCACAGCGGAACCGGACTCCAGGCGCCAGCGGGCCGCACCACTCGCCTCAGAGCCTCCCGCCACTAATTTGAATCTCTCGGCGTCCAGGCCTCTTCAGTTCTGCGCAGGCGCTAGCAGTCCTCTCGCGAGGGAGCGAAGTCTCGCGCGAGGTCGCCGGGAGGCGCCGCGAGGCCGGTGCGACCGGGCGGTAGCGTCTGCTGGGAGACTACCGTGTGGAACGCGCTGGTGAGTTGCTGGGCCTGTCCCGGGCTCTGGAGGCCCCTCCGCCTATCGGCCTCAGCTGGGCGCCCCACTTCCTTAGGAGGGAAGCTTGGCGCGTTCTCGGGGATGCCCGCAGGCGCCGGGAGGAGGGTGGCGCGTGAGCGGGGTCGCGCGTGGCTGCGCGCTCTCCGGGCCCGGCCGTGCCCAGCGGCGTCTCCGGCTTCTGGCCCCTCTCCTCGCAGGCACCATGTTCCTGACCGCCCTCCTCCGCCGTAACCGCATTCCTGGCAGGCAGTGGATCGGGAAGCACCGGCGGCCGCGGTTCGTGTCGCTGCGCGCGAAGCAGAACATGATCCGGCGCCTGGAGATCGAGGCGGAGAACCACTACTGGCTGAGCATGCCCTACATGACGGCCGAGCAGGAGTACGGCCACGCCGCGGTGCGCAGGGCCGAGACCTTCGAGGCCATCAAGGCGGCCACCACTTCCAAGTTCCCCCCGCACAAATTCGTCGCAGACCAGCTCAACCACCTCAATGTCACCAAGAAATGGTCCTAACCCTGAGCCGTCACCCCTCGATTTTGGAGATCACGGGGGAGCTGCCCTGCCTTGACCTGGTCCTGGAACTGAAAAACTGGTTCCTATGAAAGCGTGAGCCTTTGGACCAGTTTTATTAAAACAAACGTGAGCATGGTGGGCTGCATATCCAATATCTGGGGCTCTACATTCCCTGATACCTAAAAGTCTAGTCACTGCCCTATTTCTTGTTTCTTTAGCATGATAGGAAGATAGGGATTTCCTGAGTCACAGATGATATAAAATGTATTTTGAATGGAGACTGCAATAAAGCCGCGGACTATGATTTGGGTTCTTTGCTTAAGTATGAGATACTTGATGGGGGTTTTATCATGCAACTTTAGTTGACTTACCTTCTGTCAAGGGTAATTGCCTAAACTTAAATGGAAATAGCTTTTTCAGTTAAACATACTCCTATAAAATCACATTTTCTTCTGGGATTTCACTACTGAAAGTGGACATTTAAGTGAAGTAAAAGATATTTACCTGTAGGTGTATGTTTTTAAAAAACAGCTTTTTGGCAGGGTGCAGTGGTGCCTGCCAGTAGTCCCCGGCAGAGGCAGGGGAGGGTCACTTGAGCCCAGGAGTTGGGAGTCTAGCCTGGGCAACATAGCAAAACCCTGTCTCTTAAAATACATACAGCTCTTTTGAAATATACCATGTAATTCATCAATTGAAGATGTTTGTTTTTAAAAATAACCTCCTAAGTATAATAAAAATAGTCAAGTACTTTGTCTTACCAAATACTTACGTCTAGGTGCATATAGCACCCTGTAGAGTTGGGAGTATTTTATACGTGAGGAAACACTTAAGCAACTTGTCCAAAGTCACATCCAGTAATGAAAGGGACTTGAATTTGAATTGCTGTATGAGACAGAATTCTTGTTAACTACCATACGTATGTTTAATAGCAAAATACATAGAAGAAAATCAGTTTTATTATGCATTGGGTTATTTTCCCTTTATTGGGCCATTTTTCTTCCTTTTTTTTTGTTTTGTTTTCTTTTTTTCTTTTTTTTTTGAGACAGTCTTGCTTTATTGCCCAGGCTAGAGTGAGTGCCATGGCGTCAGCCTAGCTCACAGCAACCTCAAACTCCTGGGCTCAAGCAATCCTGCTGTCTCAGCCTCCCAAGTAGCTGGGACTACAGGCATGCACCACCATGCCCGGCTAATTTTTTCTATGTTAGCTGGCCAATTAATTTCTTTCTATTTATAGTAGAGACGGGGTCTCACTCTTGCTCAGAGCTGGTTTCGAACTCCTGACCTTGAGCAATCCGCCCACCTTGGCCTCCCAGAGTGCTAGGATTACAGGCGTGAGCCACCTCGCCCGGCCTCCTTATATACTTTTTGAAAATGTACAGGTTATAGGCTGGGCCTGGTGCCTCACGCCTGTAATCCTAACACTCTGGGAGGCCGAGGTGGGTGGATTATTTGAGTTCAGGAGTTCAAGACCAGCCTGAGCAAGAGTGAGCCCCATCTCTACTAAAAAAAGACAGAAATTAGCTGGACAACTAAAAATATATAGAAAAAATTAGTCAGTCATGATGGCATGTGCCTGTAGTCCCAGCTACTCAGGAGGCTGAGGCAGAAGGATTGCTTGAGCCCAGGAGAGGAGGTTGCTGTGAGCAAGGCTGACGCCACGGCACTCTAGCCCAGGCAACAGAATGAGACTCTGTCTCAAAAAAAGTCTGAAAATGTACAGGTTATAGATAAATAGAATTGAGAGCCAGAATCTGATGCCAAATGGCTTTGCAGAAGGATAGTACAAATTTCATCTAATGTTAGATGATTCACAATTTAATATCTGTAATTTGTATAGGCTGTGGTGAAGGCACATTAATTTTGTTTTATTATTTATTACACTTAAAGTGCCTGACAATAGGCATTTCATCGTTCAATGTTTATCCAAACTGAACTTTTAAATTAATGTGTCATATTCTTGTCCAATAAATTCACTGGAAAATTACCTGGATGAAACTCTACCATTTGCTTTTCTTTGTTGAAACTGACCTGTTAAATATTGCTGGAGAAAATCACCTAATTAAGGTTAGTAGTTTCTGTTTAAATTCATGACCACAAACCCCAAATTGGAAGTCAATACAACAGAAATGTATTTTCCCACAGTTCTAGAGGCTAGAAGTACAAGATCAAGGTGTTGGCAGGGTTTTCTCTGAAGGCTATAGGAAGGATCTGCTACAGACCTCTCTGCTTTCAGAGGGCTGTCTTCACATGGTTGTTCTTCTGTGTGTGCACGCGTCTGGTGTCAATCTGTTTCCAAATTTCCTCTTCTTAAAATGTCATCAGCCATATTGGATTTGGGCGCACCCCAACAGCCTCATTTTGGCTTAACACTTTTTAAAGACCTTAACTCCAAATACGGTTGCATTCTGAGGTACTGGAGGTTAGGACTTCAACATATTATAGGAGTTTGGGCAACGAAATTCAGCCCATAACACCATGTTTCTCTAACTGGTGTGATTTTCTATACAATGAGATAGCCCTTACCTTTCCCTCTCCAGAAGCCTACCTCCAGGCCCTCTTCCATTGTTACCCCCAGCTAGTGACCTAGCCTCACATTTCACTGATAAAATCTAAGCCCATCACTATGGATTCCCTTCACAGCAGCAAATCTGTATGTATATGTCCTCGTCTTCTCTCCTTTTTTAAAATCAAGGATGCGTCCCCCAAATGCTATGCCTGGGTTGCAGTTTAAAATCATGAACTGAACAGTTAAGTTTACCTCTTCTCCCTCTTTTTTTATTTTATTTTTATTTCGGCATATTATGGGGGTACAGATTTTAAGGTTTCAATAAATGCCCATTTCCCCCCTCCCCCTCTTCTCCCTCTTAAAGCCTTAGTGAGATGATAGTAAAAATATTTAAAATTTTTTAACCTTAAAGAAGAAAAGAGAAAACTGTAGACAAGAGATTACAATAAATATTTTGGAAGAAAAAAGTGGATAAAGAACTGAGGCCAGGCGTGCTGGCTAATGCCTATGTAATCCCAGCTACTTGGGAGGCTGAGGCAGGAGAACTGCTTGAGCCCAGGAGTTTGAGATTGCAGTGAGCTATTATGATACCACTGCACTGTAGCCCAGGTGACTTGAGACTCTGCCTCAAAAACAAACACATAAGGGATGTATGATATAAAAATGGAAAGGAAGTTACAAGCTAAATATCTATAGAAGGGAGGCAAAGAGCCCCCCAAAAAAGCTCAAATGGGAGGTACCTGGATGATGAATGCCAGCAAAGCTAATAAGTAAACAAGAATGAGAAAGACGCAGAATTAAAGAATATAGAACAGCAGTAGTGAGTGCCAACACAACTGTGTTGAACTTGCCCAGAAGTCAACAGGTCCAGGTTAGAGCAGAAAGATGGATTTAGGAAGGGAGGTCTCCAGGAACATATTAATATTAGAAATTATGTGTTTGAGCTCATGGAGAATGCTGTAGATAGCCCTGTGGCAGAAATGTTAGAGCTTTTGGAAAAAAATGTTATTAGATATGTGGAAAATCAGGCTGATGAAAAGGTAAGAATGCTTAACAGGAGGAAAACAATACATTGTATTACAAAGTGATAGTAGCACACTTTTGTACAATTGAACAATACTTGCATAGCCAGAACATTATAAACACTATTGATATGATTTTTAAAATTGTGATAGTTGGCTGGGTGTGGTGGCTCAGACCTATAATTTTGGGAGGCTGAAGTGGGAAGATCATTTGAGGCCAGGAGTTCGAGATCAGCCTGGGCAACATGGGGCCATATCTCTACAAAAACTTTTAAAAAATTTGCCAGGCATGGTAGTGCATGCCTCTAGTCCCAGCTACTCAGGAGGCTGAGGCAGAATGATCATCTGAACCCAGGAGATTGAGGTTACAGTGAGCTATGATGATACCACTGCACTCTAGCCTAGGCAATACAGCGAGACCCTAGCTCAAAAAAAAAAAAAAAAATTATGATAGTTATGTTGAGATGGGGGAGAGAAAGTGAAGGAGGTTGCATAGGACTGTTTAGGAGAATCTACCATTACCATGGTGGAAAATTCATAAATAAGGTCTAAAATAGATAAATCAGGAAATGGAATGAAAAAAATTATGTTGGAATTTCCATTTATGTATTTATGACAAACAAAGCTTACTCACTGAAAACAAAAATCCTGGTATATATATTTTTTAAATGGGGTCTCACTCTGTAACCCAGACTGGAGTACAGTGGCATGATCAGTGCAGCCTTGAATTCCTGGCTTGAGGGATCTGCTGGATATCAACTCACATGGCAGGGGACTATAAGGCACGTGTTACCACACCCAGCTAATTTTTAAAAATATTTTTTGTAGAGACAGGGATCTTTCTATATTGCTCAGGCTGGTCTCCCAATTTAGTCCTGCCAAGGCATGGATTACGGGGCACTGCACCTTAGCTTTTGTAGATTTTTAAATATGTTTTAGTTGTATGTTATAATTCTGTGATACCTTACAATCCGCCTTAGTTATAAGTACAGTTCAATGAGATTTCACACATGTAATATATCCTCATGTTTATACATCTGACTACAATCCATGGTTTTGTATAGAATATTTCCACCTTTCAAGAAGGTTCCCTGTGCTTTGTCTAGTCAATTCATCGGCTCTCGTCCAACCTTACCCACCTCAAACAAGAAAAACAAGTAAGGAAAAAAATATCGAAACCTTGTCTGGGCCCTGATTGGTTTTTCGTGGGGTAAGGTAGATGTGTGAATACTGATCTGTTGATTCTAAACTTATACGAAGTTTGGTAGAAGACTTACTACTAAAACAACTTTAAAAAAGACAAAAAAAAGTGGGAGATATGTTATACTGACCTACAATTTCAAGACTTAACATAATTGCCTTTTTCTTTGGTACAGGCTCGCAATGTGGGAGAGTGGTGTTGGCATAAAGACAGACAAATAAATCAACTGAATAAAATGGAGAGTCCAGAAACAGACCCAACATATATAGTCTATTCATTTTTAACAGATGTACACCAGTAATTCAGTGGAGAAAGGATAGTCTTCAAACAAAAAAGTACTGAAACACATGGTTATTCATAAGCAAAAAATGAACTTTGATCTGTACTTCATACTATATACAAAAAGTAACTCAAAATGGATGATATACTAAATGTAAAAGCTAAAACTAAAACTTCTAGTGGAAAACATAGGGAAAAATCTTTATGACCTTGGTGTCCGTGTGTGGACTCTTCAGCTCACAGCGTGGGTGGGAGAAAAAATTCTCACACCTGGAGTGGAACAGTTTTAGGAAAGA